AACGCTTTTTCGCACACAGGTAAATAACGAACGCTTGCAGCAACAGTAAATTTTCAGTACCTGTTCATCTATCAATTTGGCATGCTATGTGCTAATTGAGGTTTTGCTCTACTAAGATTAGGGACCTCAGGGCAGGTCAAAGACACCAAACCTTAAAAGACTTTGACCGCACATAATTTTGTTGTGGGTCATTTGCCATTGTTCACACTTGTAGTAATAAAACATGATGGTACCTACAATTTGCGCTTTTCAAATTTGTTCGGACAATGCAAAGTCAGTGGCCTGAAATCGGACAAAGTTTTTCAATGTTTTGGAAATGATGCAAATTTGTAGTATTTTGTGTAGCTCTGGTGCATGTATATAAAGAAATGTACTCACTCACATGCACAGCCATCGTATGTCCACAGAAGACATGACCGTGTCCCAGGTCATGACGTATCTCCACGGACACCTTCTGCAAAACACATGCCGAGCTGAATAGAGGCAGTTTTAGGAAATAATTTTGGACGCATAATTCGAATACTCCGCCGAGAACACGTTGTGATACCATTCAATGTACCAGATATGAGGCAAGTGATGTCACCACGCAAGCGACAGCATCTGGCTATACGGTGATTATGGGTAAGAGATATAAGAAGCCCCGTGCAGGTTCTTGTCACCTCGTCTCCGAAAAGAAACCTCTACACGCAGCACAATGTGGAGACAGTCAAGCGCACGTTAGATACTGGGAGAAGGGTTCAGCGACATAAAACAATGCAATTCGACATACGTGAACGCTTGCTTCATAACAAGTTATGGGACTAACGAGTAATGACGAGTAATAACGAGTAATAACGAGACTCTGAATTCCGAGACGGTCGACTGCTTGCAGCTGGAAACATCTAACGTATGCAACCTCAATACAAACACAAAACCAGCAGTGCCGCTGAACACTGATCCCGGTATCTAGCGTGCGCTTGGCTATCTCCACATTATGTCGCGCGTTCATGCTTCTTTTCCAGACGAGGTGGCAAGAACCTGCACGGGGCTTCTTACGGCTCTGGCCCATAATCACCGTATATTCAGATGTTGTCCTTGCTTGCGTGGTGACATCACTAGCCTGATATCTGGTACATTGAATGGTATCACAACGTGTTCTCGGCGGAGTATTCGAGTTCTGCGTCCAAAACTATTTCCTAAAACTGCCTGTAGTCAGTTCGGCACGTGTTTTGCAGAAGATGCCCGTGGAGATAGGTCATGACCTGGGACACTGCCATGTCTTTTGTGGTTGTCCTATGGCTGTGCATGTGAGTGAGTACTTTTCTTTACATACATGCACCAAAGCTACACAAAATACTACAAATTTGCATCATTTCCAAAACATCGAAAAACTTTGCCCGATTTCAGGCCAATGACTTTGCATTGTCCGAACAAATTTGAAAGGTGCAAGTTGTAGGTACCATCATGTTTTATTACTACAAGTGTGAACAATGGCAAATGACCCACAACAAAATTATGTGCGGTCAAAGTCTTTTAAGGTTTGGTGTCTTTGACCTGCCCTGAGGTCCCTAATCTTAGTAGAGCAAAACCTCAATTAGCACATAGCATGCCAAATTGATAGATGAACAGGTACTGAAAATTTACTGTTGCTGCAAGCGTTCGTTATTTACCTGTGTGCGAAAAACCGTTGGGGAAGTCAACTTCCCCCCCCCCCCGCCGCGCGCGGGTTCAGCAGCGTGCCTTGTCTCAGCATATGCCGGTCGCACCCTTGTGGGCGCCGCCATCAGCAGTGGTGACGCCGTGGGGCATGGGGACACGTCACCCACAATTTACAGAACGTGAGTGATTGTCGCCTGGATTCTCACACCCGAAAGTGTCAAGCCCGGGCCGTCAATTTACATTGCTCGGGGTTCCCTGGTTAATAAGGGCTCCCTTTGTCGTTCAAGAACCCACAGTGCACTAAGAAACGTCCTGTGTTGGCAAAGGGCTCCAAGCTGTCTAGTGGTGGTGTTCGAGCGAGCTCAATGTGGGGCCCGAATGACTGATCGGGACCAACGACCAAGGGCCCAATTGGAAGTCTGAAGGGCCCGAAGTACCCGAAGCATAATCTGTCGGTCACATCAAGATCTTCGCTCGTGGAACCGAGACCGCAAACGTAAGTCAGGGGCCCTATTACACCGACTGAGGATTCCTGGTGCCACACGGGCCTCTATTTCGGGCCGAGACCATCAATTCCGAACAGTTGGCTCCGTACCGCTTTGTGCCCTAGGCTCATTGCGCAAACAGGAACAAGGCCGAGGTCTGCGATTTGCATTGGTCAGGGTCCCTGATGTAGTGAGCGGCTCTGTGCCAATCAGCACACAATGCCGAACAGGAGGCCCGGTGTCGACAATTAGGTCCGATTGGGCCAGGTGCATTTTCTAAAGGGGTCTGAAGGGTGTCCAGAAAGGGACCCTAGGGGGCCCTCCAGAAAAAAGATAAAAGACCCGACTGGAAGGCTAAATGGCCCAAAGGCATATGTCACATTGAGGTGAGGCCGTGACCTCAAATATCAGTCAGAGTGCGTCTTACACTGATTGGGAGCCCTTGGACAATACGGTCTACTCTATTAGCAAGAGACCACAAACAACGAGCAGTCGGCTCTGTGTTGTATGAGCCCTGGGCTCTATTTCCTATGAAAGGACAAGCCTGGGAGCTTTGCAGCAATGGGGGGGGGGAGGGGGGCTTCTATGACGACCAGGGATCCACATTTCAGGGGTCCCGTGTCAGCCAGGGGGTCATTAGCTGAGCAGAGACACGGACGGGTCTTTGAATACTAGAGGACATCTTGCGTTTTCTCGCCCTCAATGGAAGATAATGAGAGTGCCCTGTCTCAGTCCGGGGCTTCTGTACCGACCGGGGCCTTCGTCCCCATGTCAGCCAATGACCCTTTTCGAAATATTGAAGTCTCTATGCCAAAAGTTATTGGACCACCTGCGGTGATAATGGATTCTTTTTGGATAAAGGATTCTGCGACATGCTTCTAATTAAGTTCACGTCAAGAGGTGCAACTGTGCAGAAAACTGTGTAGAAAATTACCAACTGTGCAGAATATTCCGGACAAAAAATACCACTTTGGTGACCTAGAGGACATTTGAATTCAGTGGGGTCAAACCTACAAACCATGCTGATGTTAAATTTAAAATGCTACCCGGGTCCATATGATAAGTTCAATGCTTTTCTATAGTCCAAAATAATGTTTTGTACATCTGTAGGTACCGAAGATGCCAGAGCTGTCGTCCACATTACACATAGTGCCTTCGACGTTTGACAATGTATTTGAAACAAATTAAGAACAAGCACGTTGGTGCATGAAATGAGACGCTATCAGCTTCACTAACACGATGAAGATGTGGTTACATGCGTCACACTCGCTCATCTGGTTTCTGCGCCATTGGCAACGTAGGTCACTTACCTTCGATGACCCCACGTGACCTTACATCTCTTCTCAGATTTTTGTGACCACATTATGCATCAGAGTGATATCACAACATAATTTAAGCGGCGCATTCGAATTATTCATCTAATATCACCTTTTAAAACTCCCTATTTTGTGCTCAACAAGTATCTACAGAAAGTGCCTGTGGAGATACGTCATGACCCGTACCACGGTCATGTGTGCTGTGGAAATATGATGGCTGCGCACGTGAGTGAGTATTCTTCTTTATATACATACACCAAAGCTACGCAACATACTACGAATTTGCATCAACTCCAAAATATAGTAAAAATTTGTCCGATTTTAGATCACCGACTTTGGATGTTACAAGCAATCATGAAATTTGCAGACTGTAGGTACCATCATGTTCCATTTCTACAAGTGTGAGCAATGACAAATGACCCAAAACAAAATTATGTGTGGTTGAAGTGTTTAAAGATTGGCCCTTTGATCTGACCTGAGGTCCCTAATGTTAATAGACCAGAACTCCAATCAGCACATAGCATGCCAACCCGATAGACCAACAGGTACTGCAAATTCACTGTTGCTGCAAGCGTTCGTTATTTACCTGTGCGCGAAAGACAGTCGAACTGGAAGTCAACTTCCCCCCCCCCCCGCCGCGCGCGAATTAAGCGGCGTGCCATGTCCCACCACATGTAGGTCGCACCCTTGTGGGCGTCGCCATCAGCGGTGGTGACACCATGGGGCATGGGGATGCGTCACCCACAATTTACAGAACGTGAGTAATAGTAGTCTGCATTCTCAGACCCAAAACTGTCAAGGGCACGACCACACGCTCTGGTGAAGCAATCACACGCGCAAAATGTTACGACCCCCGAGGTATTGAACGTAATTGTTACAACACTCCAGAAATATCAGAACAAATGCATCACGCGTCAGCCTTTTCAATATGAAGCTCCTCGTACTGTGTATGTTGGAGCTCACGCTCGTCACTTCGGCTGCTGAACGCCGTTCCCACGCTTCTCGACAAACTGTCTGCAGGGGTGAAATATTGCATGTCTTTTTGGGGTCATGTCCATCCCTAAACCATGACATCGACCTCTGACAGCACAAAATCAGTGGCATGAGTCCAGCAAAACTCAAACCATTTCACTCTTGCAGCCCAGTTTTTAATATTTCGTCCTTCATTTGACTCCGCCATTTGAAGTCTAGTGGCAGTGACGTGGTGATGAGATGATGACCGTATAGTGGCAATGCAGCGTGCATGCTGAAATTCGGAATGGTTTTGGCAAAATCGTTGATCTGAATGCTGTTCTCCAACTTGTGTGCTATCATAGCCGCACACTGGCAGATCAGGGGAGCGCCATTCCAGCGATGGTCCAAAACGTTTGGGACCATTTAGACCAGATCAGGCCTTTTTGTATTGCATCCAAATATTTGCATATTTGCTTGGGACCAGACTTCCAACTGGGCCCTTGAAGAAGGGAGCTCTCATTGACTAATGGACCCCGACCAATGTAAATCGCGATCACAGGCCTTGTCCCAGCTTTCATCGTTCACCCAGAGTTTGAATCCGTGCTGTTTTATTCGACACAGGGCCCAAACCTACAGCCATACACATATGCACACTTTACGGGCTGGCTTATGTGTATATAAGCATGCATCCTATTCATGAAGAGCTTGGTCTGAAGACAATTATAACATCTGTGTCACGTTGAAGTAAAGGCCACATTTTTGGCCCTTGCTTTAGTGCCGGCCATATCCTCAGTAGCCTTTATAGCTGTAACCGTGGTAACCGCCGTAGCCGCCATAACCACCGTAACCGCCGTAGCCGCCATAACCACCGTATCCGCTGTAACCGCCGTAGCCGCCGTAACCACCGTAGCCGCCGTAACCACCGTAGCCGCCATAACCGCCGTACCCGCCGTATCCGCCGTAACCGCCGTATTTGTAAAGACCGCGGCCGCCGTAACCGCCGTATCCCTTGTAGCCGCCATAGCCGCTGTATCCTCCGTAGCCGCCATAGCCGCCGTAGCCGCCGTATCCACCAAGGCCGCCGAAGCCAAAGCCACGACCTCTGGGGCCGTAGCCAAAGCCGCCGGCAACAGCGACAGCCACCAGGCAGGACAGAATCACCAGCTGAAACAGACCGCACATCGATAATTATCTCCCGCCATGCTACTGGGCGCCTTGAACTATGCAGGTACAAATGGACGAGGGTAATGGCCTGGTTACGTGTCGGGAATGTTGCAGGGATAATTTACATAGGTGATGATGTATGACATCGTCAGCTTGCATCGACAGCATGCTCATCGACTGGTGGCAGCAGTCAGCCATGTCAGCCGCTACCGGCTCAGCACATGAACGCGGTGGATCAGATCACAGCCCTGCCGTTCGCTCGCTGCTGGATGGCGGGGAGACCACAAGTCGCCGACGCGCTGCATCAAACGCTTTACCCATTCGGAAGTACGCACCTTCATGGCGGCGGATGTGTTGCAGGCTGGAGTGGACTGCAGTGAATGTGCCTCCGAAATATTCTGGCAGCCTTAAATAGGTAAGGGGACCACACCTGTTTTCACTCTTTGAGAGCTGCGACAAATGCGTGCATGCCTACGGCCACGCCCTGTTGGAAACTGGACTGTTTGGGTAAACGCCCCATTGGGTAATGCAAAGCTGGTCAAGCTTTCCTCTGTCTCTGCTGTGCATAAGCACGCCATGTTATTCCCCGTGAGAGCACCAATATTTCCTTGTAAGCCTCGCTTAACTTGACCAAGCAAAAGACCAGCAGACCATTACACGGGTTGGACAAATCCGTGGCTTGCGTATTCATCCACAGATTGTTTTGGATCGGATGAGAAATTTCTTCAAAAGCACGGATTCGAACCGAACCACATGCCACAATTGTCAAGTACGCAGGTATATAACGGGTTAAATATCAATAAAAGTAATCTAATCCGAAATGTGGTCTGAAAGGATGCACTGAAACCTAACCGGAACATAAAGGTGTTCCCAAAACACAAAAGATTCAGTGGCGTGCAGAGAACCCATTGGTTACATAGATCATCCATAAATTCAGCCAACAAATGTTTTGTTGAACACTGGCAGCTTTGTACAAATTACTACTGCGTATATATCCTGTCTTGGAAAACTATAGCTCCAGTGACAAATACGATAGCTGATATGCCTGATTATAAATAGCTGAATTCCCTTGGCATTTTCTTTCTAATAATGCACTTGGAATCTTTTGAGTTCGTGGATTTCTGGAAGCAGGGTTCGCGCTTAGCAGTGCTGGTGTGTAAGTCCTGAACCATACCATCCGATCACGTAATTCCATTTCAACGGCAGAATTTGCTGGCGAAAGTTTAACGTGCCGCAACGTTCGGCTACGGTCCGTGCTGCCCTCTGACGTCAGCTGACCCTTAGCGCAGCTGCTACCACGGGCCACAGGCCATACCTGTCCAGGCCAAATAGCGAGCTCCAGGGTCGACTCAAACCCACCCCGTCACGGGCTTGTGGATCGCAAGGCAGGTAACCAACCAACTGAGCCAATGGATAAGACTAGTACCCTCCGATCTTCTCAGTAATCCCATTTAACCGATGTGGGTGGGATTGCATAAATAAAAATAACTGATGTTCGTTGGCGGAAAGCCCACCCGAAACAATAAGGAAAGCTCTTGTCTGAAAACAATAAAAAAGATCCACCTCAAAGCAGGCCCTAAAACATTAGGTCAGCTCAACATTGGGAGGGGTAGGGGGAGGGGGGAAGGGTTCAGCAGCACAAAACAATACAAATCGACATCTGTGAACGCTTGCTTGATAAGGCGTTATGACTGAGAATTTCGAGTCGGGCGATTGCCTGCAGCTGAAAACACCTCAGGTATCTAGCCTCAATACAAATGGAAAATCAACAACACCGCTGAACACTACTCCCAGTATCTAGCGTGCACTTGGCTATCTGCACATTGTGCCGTGTATAGACGCTTCTTTCCGGAGACGAGGTGGCAATAACCTACACAGGGCTTCTTACAGCAATCTTCCATCATCATCGTACAGCCAGATACTGTCGTTACTTGCGTGGTGACATCACTTGTCCACTCGTCATACTGTTTGAGCGGAACAACCACGCTGGGAATAAGTTCCAAAAAAGAGCTGGGAAAGTATCATAAATATTGTGGAATAAGCAATGTTTGATCCGAAGAATTTTTTATATGCCGCTACCCAAGCACAGGTAACCAGGAGTGCCCTTCCCTCAATCCCAGCGACGCAGTAAACCGTACGTTAACACCAGAAAACATAAAATCAGGCTGCGGCACTCCCAGCTAGGAAGATGGAACAAACGTAAAGAAGCAGGCGAAGAGGTAGCGCAGACCCGAAGGAATTGTGTTATGTAATAGGTAGGGAAAAATCATAGATGAGGCTTAAAGTAGTCATTAGCAAAAGTCAGCTAATGACAGCCCGCTATAACCGCCCAGTAAGCTACAACCACTCAATTCACCGTGTTAGTAAGGGCTATACAGTCACACAAGTCGGAGGGGGGAATTACCTGGTCATTTTCGTGGTGGGTTTTGAGCTGGATGTCCAGGGAGTCCACCCGGCTAAGCAGAGCTTGTTGCTGGGAGCAATATATACTATGTCACACAATATGATAATTATGTCACAAGGTAAGGCGAAACTAGGCTGCTGAAATTTGAAGAACTGGTTGAGTCTTTTTAAAGCATGGTTATGTACACGGCGGCAAAAATCCCAAGTCTTGAGTGTTGGGCCGGTCTCGGGAAACGGCGGTATCCTTGTGTAGAACACTAGGCAAAACGATGGTCTGCACTTGTCAATAGTGCGATCAGAAACCTAAAACGTATCGGATTTATTTCGAGGCAGTGAAGCAGGCAGAGGGCACGAGGATCATGTGGCCCTCTTAGGTCTCGTGGCGTCCCTCGTGTCCCTGAGGGCCGGCGATTAAGGGTCCGAAGGGCTGGCCAGAGGTCGCATTAAATGACCCAGATTTGCGGGCTGAGCCCTCTAACACCAGTCAAAGGACAAGTTGCGATGATGACGGGCACTCAAGTCGACGAAGATCCCTTTATCGATCAGGCACCACCAGTACCTAATAGTCGGCTCAATAACGACTTTGGCCTGATCATTTCCCAAGCAGGAAGCTGGGACAAAGCCTAGGACCGCGATTTCTATTGGCCGGGGTCCCTCGGTCAATGAAGGCTCCCTAAGTTGTTCAGAGACCCACAGTGCCCAACAGGGGTCCTTTGCTGCCAAGGAATCCCAAGCTGGCCAGTAGCGATGTTCGAGAGAGCCCGAAGAGTTCCCCGAATGGCTAATCGGGACCAACGACCAAGAGACCAGTTGGAAGTCTGGACCCAAACAAATATGCAGAGATTTGGATGCAAAACAAAAGGGTCTGGTCTGGTCTAAATGGTCCCAAACGTTCTGGACCATCGCCGGAATGGCGCTCCCCTGATCTGCCAGTGTGTGGCTACGAAACTACACAAGTAGGAAAACAGCATTCAGATAAGCTATTTTGCCAAAACTATTCCGAGACTTCAGCATGCACACTGCAGTGCCACCATAACGTCATCATCTAATCACCAAGTCACTGCCACTAGACTTCAAATGGCGGAGTGAATTGGAAGTCGGAAACCTGAAAATTGAGCTGCAAAAGTGAAATAGCTTGAGCTTCGCGGAATTCATGCCGGTGGTTTAGTGCTGTCAGAGATCCAGTTGAAGGTCTAGGGGTAGTCATGAGCCCAAAAAGGCATACAATATTTCACCCCTGCAGACAGTTTGTCGAGAAGCGTGGGACGGCGTTCAGCAGCCGAAGTGACGAGCGTGACCTCCCACACACACAGTACGAGGAGCTTCGTATTGAAGAGGCTGGCGCGCGGTGCACTTGTTCTTATAATTCTAGAGCGTTTTAATAATCGCGTTTAATACGTTTGGGGTTGTGACATTTTGCGCGTGTGGCTGCTTCACCAGAGCGCGTAGTCACGCGCTTGACAATTTCGGGTCTGAGAATGCAGACGGCTGTTCTCTCTATACTCTCGTTCTGTAAATTATAACTGACGCGTCCCCATGCCCCAGCGTGTCACCACCGCTGGTGGCTGCGCCCACAAGGGTGCGACCGGCATGTGGTGGGACAAGGCACGCTGCTTAACCCGTGCTCAGCCGGGGGGAAAGTTGACTTGCCCGTACGGTTTTTCGCGCGTAGGTAAATAACGAACGCATGCAGCGACCGTAAATTTTCAGTACCTGTGCATCTATCAGTTTGGCATGCTATGTGCTAATTGAGGTTTTGGTCTACTACGATTAGGGACGGTAGGTCACGTCAAAGACACCAACACTTAAAAGACTTTGACCACACATAATTTTGTTGTGGGTCATTTGCCATTGCTCACACTTGTAATAATAGAACATGGTGGTACGTACAGTTTGCAAATGTCATATTTGTTTGGATAATGCAAAGTCAGTGACCTGAAATCGGGGAAATTTTTGTCATATGTTGGAACTGAAACAAAATTGCAACGCTTTGCGTAGCTTTGGTATATGCATATAAAGAAAAGTACTCACTCCCATGCACACCCATCGCATGTCCACAGAAGACATGGCCGTGTCCCAGGTCATAACCTATCTCCGCAGGCACCTTCTGCAAAACACATGCCGAGCTAAATATAGGCAGGTTTAGGAAGTAATTTTGGACGCAGAATTCGAATACTCAATCGAGAACAAGCTGTGATACCATTCAATGAACCAGATATCAGGCAAGTGATGTCACCACGCAAGGAACGACAGCATCTGGCTATACGGTGATTATGGGCCAGAGCTGTAAGAAGCCCGTGCACGTTCTTGTCACCTCGTCTCCAAAAAGAAGCCTCTATACGCGGCACAATGTGGAGACAGTGAAGTGCACGCTAGATACCGGGATAAGGGTTCAGCGGCGTTGTTGGTTTTGTGTTTGTATTGAGGTTGGATACGTTAGGTGTTTTAGCTGCAAGCAATCGACCGTTTCGGAATTTTCGGTCATAACGCGTTATCAAGCAAGCATTCATGTATGTCGAATTGTATTGTTTTGCGCCGCTGAACCCTACTCCGCCTCCCCTCCCCACCCCTCCCCCCACCGCTCCCGATATTCAGCT